AAATGCCTGGAATTACCCCGGTCTTGCACTACTCTGGCCCTGACCCTGGCTGTCACTGTCCTAGACCGAGCCCTGTTGCCAGTGCTGCTATGGCCCTGATCATTTCCCTGGACTCTTGCCATGCCATGAAGCTGCACTGTCCTTACCCTTGTTCTGGCACTGCCCTGGCCATTCTCTGTCCTTTCCCTTGCCTTGGCATCACCCTGGCCCTGCTCTGCCTGCCTTGTCTCTGTCTAGGCCACACCCTAGGTTTGACCCTGCCCTGGCTGTCACCCTAGACTTGGCTGGGTTCTGTCTTGGACCTGGCCATAGCACAGACCCAGCAATTTGGGAAGCTGAGTCAGGTGGATCACCTGAGCTCAGGAGTTCAAGACCAGCCTGACCAACATAGTGAAACTCTTTCTTTACGGAAAATGTAAAACTTAGCTGGGTGTGGTGGCAGACACCTGCAATCCCAGCTACTCAGGAGGCTAGCACAAGTAAATTGCTTGAAGCTGGGAGGCAGAGATTGCAGTGAGCTGAGATTGTGCCACTGCACTCCAGCCTTGGCAGTAAGAGTAAGACTCCATCTTTTACATAAAAAAAAGATTTAATGTGCAAAATAATTCCAAATTTCTAAAGTTGAGTGTTCTGAGCAGTAAGCTTTGATTACTGAAAAACGTACTTACCAGAACATTCTTCAGTGATGCTCAAAAAGTGAGGTGTCTGCTCTGCAGAGATGAGTCAGGAGTAGTGAAGAAGCAGGTGGCTTGTCAACTCTACCCACCAGAAACGACGCTCAGCAGGGTTTAGCAACAGTAGTCTCCCCTCTGAACCCACAAGGTAAAGTCTAGGAGGAAACCAGAAAGGAGTTAGCCAAGTTACAAAAGAAGGGCTGAGGCTGGGCGGCCCCAAGGGAAGGAAAATGCCAGAAACATAGACGCTCTGGTCACAGTGTTCTCATGAGGATTTTTATTAAAAAGAAGCTTTGGCAGCCATCCCAGAGCAACCTCAAGAGGAGATATTGGGGTCACAGAGCTGCCTGGGAGTTTTGGAGTCATGCACAGACCTGGAGAAGCTGAAGTCCAGGGGGCCACCTGCATCTGCATGGCAGTAATCAAGTCTATCACTTATTCTCCTCTCCCTCCAAACTGTCACTGCAAGATCCCACTATGCCACTTACTAGCTGTGTGACCTTAGACAAGTTACTAAACACTTCTGAGCCTCAGTAAACGGTAGCTAATATTATTGTTATTAAAAGTGGTTAAATCTTTACAGGGTCATGCACAACCATAAGCAGGTAGCACTGGGAGAGGCAAACATTTCTTATGACACGTCAGATGGTAAATATTTTAGACACTATAAGCAAAACAGCATTATATGTATGTATATATTTCATACATACATAGCTACAGGCATTCAGACAGTGGCTCTCTCAACAATGGCAATGCCTTTCTGACCAAGACTGGATTGATCAGTGGTTCTTATGCCACATTTTCATGTGAAGTGTTGAAGGCTGCTGTCTTCTCTGTCCTGTTATTACACAACATTGAGTGGGCCCACTCTGGCCACACTCCTGGAACCTCACCACCGGAACCAGGAAGTAAGAGGTCAGGGTCCTCTCCTTCCCTGAAGTTCTAGCTGCAGCCCCAACTCTGGGTTCACCCTGGAGCCCTGTGTTGGTGCATTCCTAGGTCAGGGAAGGCTATACTCTGCCCCCCACATGACACCTGGGGATACTGAGATGAGCCAGATGTGTCAGTGGCCAGAGAGAAGGGCAGCAGCTAGTGTGGCCACTTGCTGGGGCCTCCGCTGCTTCCCTTGGCTGGTGTGGAGAGAATGATAGAAAAATAAGAAACAGAACAGACTAATTATGGGTAATGCAATTAAAGTAGTAATAAAAAGTCTCCCATCAAGGAAAAGCACAAAAATCATGGTTTTACTACTGAATTCAATGAAACATTTTTAAATGAGCTAATACCAAATATACTCAAAATATTCCCCCAAAAATAAAAAGGAAGGAACACTTTTAAACTTGTCTTATGAGGCCAGCCCTGGTACAAAAACTAGACCAAAACACAACACAAAAAGCAAACCACAGGCAAATATCCCTGATAAACACAGATGCAAAAAATCCTCAACCAACTATTTGAAAACTGCATTTGACAAGACAATAAGCAGATCATCTGCCATGATTTAGAGGGATTCATCTGAGAAATATGAGGGTAATTCAATAAACCCAAATAAGTAAATGTGCCACATCACATTCAGCAAATCAAGAAAAAATATATCATCATTTCAGTAATGCTGAAAATAAAATTCAACATTCCTTCATAATTCAAGAAAGCTGTTTCATTACTTCTACCACCCAAAAAGATACCTAAACATAGCAAAAAAGTTGGAAGATCCCACAATGAAAATGATAAAAGAGACAAGATATCAAAACAGACATGTGTAAATGGAAAGACAGCCCATGTCCAAGCACTAGAACAATACATTAAAATATCTATCACCCAATGTGATCTGCAGAATCAATGCAATCCATGTGAAATTACAAAAGACATTCTTCATGGAAACAGAAAAAAAATCCTAAAATTCACATAGAAATGCAAAATATCTCAGATAGATAAAAGAATCACGAACAAAAAGAAAAAAGCTGAAAACATCATAATACCTGATTTTAAAATGTATTATAAATCATTAGTAACAAAAACAGCATGGTACTGGCCATAAAAGTGGCAAGGGAGAGACAGAGACACACAGACATAGCGGAATGACAGACATATACAAATGAAACAGAATAGAGAACTCAGAAATAAATTCATGCATTTAAAGTCAACTCATTTTTAGCAAAGGCACCAAAAACACACCTTTAGAACGGACAGTATCTTCAATAAACTGTGCTAGGAAAACACAACACATACATAATAAACGGTCAAGAATAAATCTAGACCATTATCTTACCAAATACAAAAATCTACTCAAAATAAAAATTTAAATGTAGGACCTGCAACTATGAAAATACTAGAGAAGAAAACAGTATAAATCCTTCAGGAAATTGGTTAGGACAAGGGATTTTCAAATACACATCAAAAGCACAAGCAACAAAAGCAAAAAGCATCAAAGGCAATTGTATTAAACATAGAAGCTTCTGCAAAGTGGAGGAAGCAATCGGAATGAAGAAAATTCAGAATATAGAATTTGCAAACTATGCCATCAGGCAAGCGTCTAATACAGAAAACTATAAAGAATTCAAACTTCTCCAAAGCAAAAAATACAAATAACCTTATTTAAAAATCAGAAAAAGATCTACCCAAACCCTTTGTCCCCCAGCAATATTTTTCCATCTTCTTTTCCCAACAGCCTTTGGCCGCTCCCTCTCGCCAGCCTTTTTCTTTCTCCATCTACCCCAAATATTTTTCCACATTTTTCCCCACTGTCATTTCACAAAGACTTCTCTACTCTCTTGCTCACTACAGTTTTCCCCACCCATCTACCCCAAAACTTTTCTACACCGTTTTCCCCCACTGTGCTTTCTTCCTTTCTTTCCTACCCTCTTCCCCACCTCACTCTCATCCCATTTGCTCCTCTATCTACACAAAAACATTTTCCTCATCTTTTACCAAAGCCTTCTCACCACTCCTGCTCAGCACCCTCTTTTCCCCCTTCATCTTCCCAAAACTGCCCCATCGTCTTTTTCCCCTTTCCTTCTTGCCACCCTCTTTCCCTTCTCCATCTATCCCAAAACATTTCCTCACCATCTTTTCTGCAAAGCCTTCCCTGCTTCCCACTCACCCTCTTCTTCCCCTTATCCTGCTTGCCACGTCTTTTGCCCTCTACCCTATTTTCCCCATCTTCTTTTTCCCATCCCTCTTTCTGCACTCCCGCTGGCCACCCCCTCTTTTCTCTTCCCACTTGCCACCCTCTTCTCCCTCCATCTATCCACTTTATCCACTGTCTTTTCTTTCTGCACCGTCTTTCTTTCCTGCCCATCGTCTATTCACAAAACCTTTTCTCCTTCCCACTCGCCACCCTCTTTTCCCTCTTCATCTACCTGAAACATTTTCTCCCCTTCTTTTCGCAAAACCTTCTCTCCCTCCTGCTTGCCCACTTTCTCTTCCCCCTCCCTCGTTGCATCATCTTTTCTTCTCCCACTTGTCCCCCTCTTCCCTTCTGCATCTGCCCAAAATCTTTTTACCCACCGTCTTCTTTCTGTCTTTCTTTTCTCCCGTATTTTTTCAGACCTTCTCTCCCTCCTGCTCACCCCCTGGTTCTCCCCTCACCATCCTCTCATTCCTTCTGTCACTTGCCACTCTATTTTCCCCTTCCATCTACCCAAAAACGTTTCCCCACCATCTTTTCACAAAAGCTTCTCTCCCTCTTCCTCGCCCCCTGATTCCCCCCTCACCATCCTCTCATTCCTCCTCTCACTTGTCACTCTATTTTCCCCTTCCATCTACCCCAAAATAGTTTTCCCACCATCTTTTCCTCACCGTCTTTTTTCAACACCTTATCCTGTTCGCCATCCTCTTTGTCCCTTTGGCAATAACCACCCTCCTTAGCCCTCCCACCTCGCCCCAAACTCGTTTCCCCTCCTACCGCTCCAGGGGCATGCGTCCGTGGCTACCGCCAACCACAGTGAGGTGAGCTGCAGCAAGGCGAACCGCAGTACTGCAGACTCCAGCTTCCAGCAGGCGGCAGCTGGCTCTCCCGTCTTCTACTCCTCTAAGCCCGGCACCGAGGAGCACAGCCGACGGACACAGAAAAGCCTGGAATGGAGTTCCTGCCCAACAGAGCCATTTATATACTGAGGTTATGCACTGAGGTTTCTGAACTACACGGTCTCATTGGATGAAAACAAGTCTGAGGCCAACCAATCAGAGCATGAAAATAAAACTCAATCAGAGTAGGCCTAAAGGTTTCCTCTCATCCAATCAGAACATGTAGTCCAGCAACCATGGGCAAAACCCTCAGTATATAAGGCATGTGTGTCTTGCGGAGCCACTGTGTTCCCGGCGTAGAGGACCAGCAGAGGGGGCAGCGGAGCCACCTACTGCACGCTGGAGGCTGCAGCCTGCGGTACCGTGGCTGGCCTCGCTGCAGTGGGTGGTGGTGACGGAAACTGCAGCGGCTGGAGCGGTGGTGACAGAAACTGCAGCAGCTGGAGCGGTAGGAGGGCGGCCGGAGTGGTAGGGGAGCGGGCTGGAGGGGTAGGAGGGCGGCCGGAGGGGTAGGGGAGCGGGCTGGAGCGGTAGGAGGGTGGCCGGAGTCATAGGGGAGCAGACTGGAGCGGTAGGAGGGCGGCTGGGGTGTTAGCGGATCAGGCTGGAGCGATAGCTTGAAGGTGCAGGGCTTTCAGAACAGGATTTCTGGGAGCAGCCCCTCGATGATTATGGGGCAGGGGTTACTCTTAACACTTGTAGGGCGCTTGGACCGGGTGCCTGATGCTTCCCCTGTGGGTGAGAGGCAGGGTCCTACTGCTCAGCAGTGAGAGGCGGTGTGGGGCGTATGTACATGGGATTTCACGCATGTGATGTAAAGACATCCATGCAGAAGAGTGAACGATGCGAAAGTGTTGTAGCACCGTGGAAACGTATAGGCATTACAATCTGAGCTATTTGATCAGAAAATAAAAAAGTAGGCCAGCAGGGTGACTCATGCCTGTAATCCCAGCATTTTGGGAGGCCAAGGCGGGAGGACCACTTGAGTCTAACAGTTTGAGTTCAGCCTGGGGGACATAGCAAGACCCTGTCTCTCCTAAGAATTTCTTTTAAAAAGCTGGGCATGGTGGTGCATGCCTGTGGTTCCAGCCACTTGGGAGGCTGAGGATTGCTTGAACCCAGGAGTTTGATGCTATAGTGAACCATGATCACACCACTGCACTCGAGCATGGGTGACAGAGAGACTGACTGAAAGGAAAAAAGAAAGAAAAAGCCACACCAACATGCTATCATGTCCTATGCTCCTCTTTTTTTTTTTTTCTTTTAAGACAGTTTAACTCTGTTGCCCAGGCTAAAGTGCAGTCGGGCGATCTCGACTCACTGCAACCTCTGCCTACCAGGTTCAAGCGATTTTCCTGCCTCAGCATCCTGAGTAGCTGGGATTACAGGTGGCCACCACGACACTCAGCTAATTTTTTGTATTTTTAGTAAAGAGGGAGTTTCATTAAGTTGGCCAGGCTGGTCTTGAACTCCTGATCTCATGATCTGCCCACCTCAGCCTCCAAAAGTGCTGGGATTGTAGGTGTGAGCCACCAAGCCCAGGCTTTTTTTTTTTTTTTTGGATACAGTTTCACTTCTGTTGCTCAGGCTGGAGTGCAATGGTGTGATCTTAGTTCACTGCAATCTCCACTTCCCAGGCTCAAGCAATTCTCCTGCCTCACCCTCCTGAGTATCTGGGACCACAGGAGTGCACCACCGCACCTGGCTAATATATTTGTATTTTTGGTAGAGACAGGGTTTTGCCATGTTGCCCAGGTTCAAGGCTCATGAGTACAGTTCCTATTTCATTCACCGCAGTATCCCCAGTGCCTGAGACATGCCTGGCATTTCATAAATACTCAAGAAATATGTGTAAGGGAGTGAATAGTTTCGGCTGGAAGTGGGAAGCCTCCCACTTCTCTGTCCACAGTGTCTGCGTGTCCCTCCCCCGGGGGTGTTCCACTGCTCACTGTATTTCCTATTGAAAATGTCCTGGACCTGCTCCCTCAGTGTGTGGGTGATGTGGGTATGGGAGAGCCTCATGTTGTAACTTTCTGCAAAGCATAAAACGACTATGGGTTTGGGCCGTTCAGTGAAAAGGCACTTGGGGAATTTTAAGGAATATGATTTTCTAATTATGGGAAACTCCTTCTCTGGCAATTAATGGATCTTTAGAGTGGGCCCCTCAGGTCCTTCAGCACCAAGGTCTTGATGGAGACATGTTTTTTCCAGAAGGACATGCACTGTCGTTGCAACAGTGATGAGCTGGAAATTAATTGCTGACATTTGAAAACCACCAAACCAATACATAAGTCCCAGAGGCGAGGGACATTGTGGAGAGTAGATTCTTGTGCCCCAGGCTGGTGGGTAGGGAACGGGGGCTTCATGAAGTCCCTAGAGAGCTGGAGAAAAGGGAAAGAAAACAAGCTCAGCTAACTCAGCAGGTGGTGGGGGACAGGCAGTCCCCACAGACATGGGGTGGGCCTGGCAGCTCTCAGTGGGCATTCACTCACCCAGAGGGTGTTCATTAAAGACCACCAAGTATGGCCAGGAACAGTGGCCTATACCTGTAATCCCAGAGCTTGGGGAGGCCACGGTAGGAGGATCACCTGAGGTCAGGAGTTGGAGACCAGCCTGGCCAACGTGGTGAAACTAGAAATACAAAAATTAGCTGGGCATGGTGCTGTGAACCTGTAATCCCAGCTACTAGGGAGGCTGAGGCAAGACAATTGCTTGAACCTAGGAGGTGGTGGGTGTAGTGAGCCAGGATCATACCCCACATGCCAGCCTGGGCAACAGAGTGAGACTCTATCTCAGGAAAAACAAAAACAAAAGCTGGGTGCAGTGGGTCACACCTGTAATCTCAGCACTTTGGGAGGTGGATCATCTGAAGTCAGGAGTTCAAGACCAACCTGTCCAGCATGGTGAAACCCTGGCTCTACTAAAAAAATATAAAAAATTATCCGGGCTTGGTGGCTCACACCTGTTGTTTCAGCACATTGAGAGGCTGAGGCAGCAGGATCACGAGGTCAGGAGTTGGAGACCAGTCTGACCAACATGGTGAAACCCTGTCTCTACAAAGAGTACAAAAATTAGCCGGGTGTGGTGATGGGTACCTGTAATCCCAGCTACTCAGGAGGCTGAAGCAGGAGAGTTGCTTGAATGCTTGAACCTAGAAGGCAGAGGTTGCAATGAGCCGAGATTTTGCCTCCAAACTCCAGCCTGGTCAACAAGAGTGAAACTCTGTCTCAAAATAAGGCAAGTGCCAGCATGTACTGGGGGATCCCAGACCGCCATGAGCCCCTGACTGCAGGGCAGGGAGGCAGGAGCGGAGGAGGGAGTGACTCTGGGCAATTGGGCCAGGCTTGTAGTGAGGGTCTCAGTCTGCTAAGGGGGCTGGGTATGAGGAGCTGTGGTGAGGAGAGTCATGAACTCCCCCAGTCATGGAATGTCCCAGAACAGCCATGCACTTCAGATCTCCAGGACAGGAGCTCAGGCTGGCAGTTACATGTGTTTTTCTTCAAACTGGTTGCCAGGTTGGAATGACCAATGACATCAGAGATTCCACCCTTCCTGATTGGAGGGATTGAACTCCCTGGGGACTTTGAAACTCAGGTGGACAACAGTATCTTCTCAGAGCTGTTCTCCACTCCTGACCTCTTCCCAGCCTTCAGAATAGATAGCACATTCTTCTGGTTCCTAATAGAGTGTGGAGGAAGGCTTTGGCCACAACAGGAACTAGGTTCCCTGGGAGGGAACAGAGTTTGGGGGAGATCATGGCCAGCCATCAATGGCAACCCCAGGTTGAGGAGCAGAGCCCCCAGCCTAGCACCTCAGAGTACTTCCTCCCAGAGGTGGTGAACAATGAAATGCCAGGACCATCAGGTGAGGGGACTAGAGGAAGAGATGAGAGAAGATTGACTGAGAACCAGGAGGGAATGAGGGTAGGGGTTGGGGGTTGGCTCACACCTGTAATTTCAGCACTTTGGAAGGCTGAGGTGGGCAGCTCACCTGAGGTCAGGAGTTTGAGATAGCCTGCCCAACATGGTGAAACCCCATCTCTACTAAAAATACAATATTAGCTGGGTGGTAGTGGTACGTGCCTGTAACCCCAGCTACTCGGGATACTGAGGCAGGAAAATTGCTTAAGCCTGGGAGGCCAAGGTTGCAGTGAGTCAAGATCCTGCCACTGCACTCCAGCCTGGGTGACAGCAAAACCCCATCTCAGAAGAAAAACCAAAGCCAGATGTGGTAGCTCATACCTGTAATCCCAGCACTTTGGGAGGGAGGTTGAGGTGGGTGGATCAACTGAGGTCAGGAGTTTGAGACCAGCCTGACCAACATGGTGAAAACCCATTTGTACCAAAAATACAAAAATTAGCTGGGTTGTATGCCTATAATCCCAGCTTCCAGGGAGGCTGAGGTAGGAGAATCTCTTGAACCTGGGAGGCAAAGGTTGCAGTGAGCTGAGATGGAGTCACTGCACTCTAGGGGAGAGAATGAGATCCTGTCTCAAAAGAGAGAGAGAGAGAGAGAGAGAGAGGAGGAGGAGAGGGGGCAAGGGGAAGAGAGGGGAGACCAACCCAGTAATCAGGAAGGAGCACTGAGGGAGTGTGTGGGGGTAGCAAGCAGGGACTCAGGCCAGGTGCAGTGGCTCACACCTGTAACCCCAGGTCTTTGGGAGGCCAAGGCAGGAGGGTCGCTTGAGGCCCGAAGTATGAGACCAGCCTGGCCAACATGGTGAAACCTTGTCTCTAAAGTACAACAATGAGCTGGCTGTTATGGTAGGCACCTGTAATCCCAGCTACTTGGGAGGCTGAGGCAGGAGAATCACTGGAACATGGGAGATGGAGGTTGCAGCGATAGGAGCTTGCACCACTGCACTCCAGCCTGGGCAATAAAGTAAAAAAAAAATGTGACTCAGCGAGCTGGGACCAGAAAAGGAAATGATGCATTCTGTGGACAGAGAGATGGAAGAATGGGGAAGAGAAGGAGAGGCACATGGGGTTTACAAAGGAGAAAGACAGAAAGATGGCTTGCAGAAGCCAACAGTCTGCAGGGCTGGGGAGGATGGAGAGTGTTTTGTGGTTTGGGATCGGGGTTTAAGGTGATCAGTTACTGAAGCATTACGTGGTGGCCTGTGTTTTTACTCAACCCCTTGGGTAGATTGCAACCCCCCCCACTTAGGTTTCTGTGCTGGAAACGGAAGAGGGAGTGGTCAGACAAATCAGAGGAGGAGGCAGAGAAGGTGCTCACCCCTGAGCCTGAGGAGACCTGGGTGATGGAGACCCTGTGTGGTCTGAAGGTGAAGCTGAAGCTATGGCGAGTGTTGCCCATGATCCCTGAGCACCATGAGGTCTTCAACAGGCTGCTTGGTAGGAGGACACCCAGAGAGCACCTCCAGTCCTTTTCTTTACAAAAGGGAAACTTCCCATTACCATACTTTTCCCATGGGAAAAATATGCCCCC